TTGTTGTTGTTGTTGTTGTTTAAAAAAGAGAGAGGTTGCTCTGCGTCAGATCCGGAAGAGGTAGGCGAGGGATCCCTTTCCCTTTCGGAATTCAGCTGAGTTAGTTGCACTTGGAGAGGCGCATCCCTTGCAAGCCTCCCTCCCTCTTGCTCCCTGGCCAGCTCCCTGGGCCTTTCCTTGCCGCCCTCTTTGTGCCTCCCTTCCTGGGCCAAGGGCTGGCAGGACCCTTTCCCCCTCCCTCCCTCCCTCCCTCCCTCCCTCCCTCCCTCCCTCCCTCCCTAATTAATACAGTGGGCTCCTTTGGCAGCTAGCCTGGCAAGCGCCTGCACCCCTCCCCAGGGGGGTTTCGGGGGGTGGGGGTGGTGGAAGGGGGTCGCCTCTGGTTTAAGACGATTTTGTCTAATTAAATGGACACCCTGATGATGATGATGATGATGATGATGATGATGATCATTATTACTATTGTCATCTAATTCAAGTGGATTCCAAAGGACTGACTTGACTTCCAAATAAGCTTTGGGGAATTGGATGTATGAAAGCGTGTACATGTGTACACGTGTGTGTGTGTGTGTGTGTGTGTATGTGTACATGTGCATGTAACCATGCGCTATCAGCCGATGGAGTGGTAATGGTGGGATTAAAGCTGCTTAATACTGTGGTCGTACAAAGAGGGCAAACAAGGTGGTGTGAGTTCTCCTTCCATCCTCATCCATGTATATTCTATGTATATTCAGATATTCATATATGTACATGTATACTCATATACTCACGTGTACACGTAAATGCGTATGTATATTCACATGTACATGTATATGTTTACTCAAATGTGCACGTATATGTATGTATACAGTATGTATCTTCATAGATAAATGTGCATGTATATGTTTACTCACATATGAACATATATGTATATGTATATTTACATATACATGTATATTCACATACACATGTATATGTTTACTCACATATGCACGTATATATGTATCTATATCCACATATACATGTATATGTATATATGTATCCACATATGCATGTATATGTATATCCACATATACATGTATATGCATATGTATATATGTTTCCACATATACACGTATATGTCTCTGTACACATACACATGTCTATGTCTATGTACATCCTCATGTTCGCGTATATGTATGTTCATATATACACGTATATGTCTATGTATAGCCACATATTTACGTATATGTATACTCACACATACTGTACACCTGTATGCCTATGTATATTCACATAGACATATACGTACACTTATGGGTATCCCGCACAAACCTATACACTTGCGGCCGCGTGTATTAACTCTCTTGGGAACCTAGATCCCCAGTTTCTCTGTCTGTCTGTCTGTCTGTCTGTCTG